AAGAGGGACTGGAGCCTGGACTCCTGGATCTGAGGGAGGATGGGCTGGGGAACCTGGGCTCCTGGGTCTGAGGGAGGAGGGGCTGGGGGTCTGGACTGCTGGGTGTGACTGGAGGGGTCTGGGTGCTGGGAGTCCTGAGCCTGGATCCTAGATGATGGTTAAACTTCTGGGAATCAAGTCAAACTGCTGAGTCCTTGACACCGATGTATCTTGAATGTGAGGGTCAGTCTGTGGGTGGAGGATTACCCAGGTGCCAAGGCAAGAGACTGAAGGCACAAACTGTTTCCATATAATAAAGAAAATAGTGAGAATAAGAATAGTCATTATACAAATTAGATATAGAGGTGATGATGACATTATCAATCATTAGTGTAAACATTATTAATCATTAGCTTTTACCATTACTCTTTGTTGTATTATTAATATAACCAAGAAATAACCGGCGGGCATAGGGTCAGGTGCTGAAGGGACATTGTGAGAAGTGACCTAGAAGGCAAGAAGTGAGCCTTCTGTCACGCCGGCATAAGGGTGCTTGAGGGCTCCTTGATCAAGCGGTAAGGCCAGTGTCTGGGAAGAACCCCCGTTACTCAGCAGACTGCGAAAGGGAGTCTCCTTTCCTTGGAGGAGTCAGGGAACTCTGCTCCACCAGCTCCTTGTGGAAGGCTGGATATTATCCCGGCCTGCCCGCAGTCATCCAGAGGTTTAAACGGCTCCCTGTGGTGCTGTGCTTCAGTGGTCATGCTCCTTGTCCGCTTTCATGTTCCTCCTGTACTCCTGGTTCCTCTTTGAAGTTCGTAGTAGATAGCAGTAGAAGAAATAATGCAAATCTTAAAGTCTTTGATCTTTCTTATAAATGCATAGAAGAAAACGCTGATGCTGCCTTCCCTCTCTGCCTCAGCTACCTAAAAGGGAAGAGCCCCTGTCCCATGATCACGTGGCTCGGTGACCTTATCAATCACCTGGACGACTCACTCTCCTTACTCTGCCCCCTTGTCTTGTATGCAACAAATACCAGCGCGCCCAGCCATTCAGGGCCACTACCGCTCTCCGCGTCTTGGTGGTAGCGGTCCCCCGGGCCCAGCTGTTTTCTATCTCTTTGTCTTGTGTCTTTATTTCTTACAATCTCTCGTCTCCGCACAGGGGAAGAACACCCTCAAAGCCCCGTAAGGCTGGACCCTACATCA